GTGTAAGAAAAGAAATCTCATGAAGCCAAAAGAGTGTCACACATAGGGACACTTCATTTTTATTACAAATATTAATAATATTTATTTAGGACACACAATTGGTATAATATCCCATTATAATCTAAGGTCATGGATCAGAGGAAAGAGAATACAAAGACCTGAGAATATAAAGAGAATATACAGGACAAATCCTTGGCAAACTTCAATTTTATTTCAGTCTTTCAGATGTGTCCACACTTTAATGACCTTAAGAAATGATAAAAGGTAGTTAAGTCAAAAGCAATTCCTTTGTATTTCTTATAACCTATAGATTAGGTAAATTAAACATCTCTAAGACTATATATAGGGAAAAGAATTTAGGAAATCCTGGAATTATCTGTTCTCACAGAGCTTTGATGGTCTAATAAGCAAGAGAGAAAGCAATCATTCTGCGGACCTTGCTGATAAGAGATTTGGACATCCAGAATTGCAACATGTTTGGTAGTTCTTGTCCTGAGTGTGAATAAATCTTGAATGTTGTCTTCACATTTTATTTTTGTGGACACAATATGAAAATAGAAAAATTAATTTGGTTTTAGATATTCAAGTTGGTAGGGCACAGAGGCAAAAATTGGTAAACTCAAAAGCAACCCAAAAAGTAAGAATGGTCTGCATTAATAAACTATAAAAGAGAAAAGAACACAAACAGGATTTTTTTTCTGAAACACAAGGAAGATTTTGTGGTATCTATATTTGATATTGTCTCAAGTCTATTCAAAAACAAACACCATCATCCTCCAACACACGATCTTGGCTCACATTCCTTAATCTGTCCAGTCCCATTCAGTATTAAAGCAGATAATTTTTAATGCTTGTTAATGTTTTGGTATGTTCTCTTTCCCATGCACTCATTCATTTGGACATCCATTTAATATAGTGTGTGATCCCCTTATCTCTGCTGGATGAATTCCAAGACACCCAGTCAATGTCTGAAACCACAAATCGTAACAAACCCTACCTACTATGTTTTTTCCTATACATATACACTATGATAAAATTTCACTTTTTTAACTCAAAGAAAGCACTTTCTGACTGCTTTTTGGCATTTCCACATTGCCAATTCCACTACTCTTGCACTTTTGGCCCTTTACTAAGTAAAATAAGGATTGCTTGAACACAACTGCTTTGACAGCTGGACATGCATTCTGATAACAACATGTGTGCTAAGTAACAGATGAGCAGATGGCACCCACAGCATGGATATACTGGACACAGTGACAATGCATGTCCCAGGTGGGGTGCAGCAGGATGACAGGGGACTTCATCATGCAAATCAGAACACTATGCAATTTTAAATTTGTGAATTAGTTTCTGAATTTTCCATTTATTATTTTTTGACCATGACTGGTGAGAGAAACCTGAATCCCTAGAAGTGAAACCCTAAGGACTCCAGAATATGTACTGAATGCCCATTGTTACCTGACCAATGGGCAGTACTTGGACTTCATTCATGAAAGACACAGTACCAATCTCCAACCTAGTCACCAATACTTGTGGACAGCAAGTCGAAACCTAGCAGAGACCTATGTGTCTAGAACACTGATCAAAGGAGACAGATATATGCATAGATGTATGTTTGATACCTAAATAAGTTGAAACAGGGTAGGAGAGGACAATTTATTAGATTTTAAAAGGATACTCTTTGGTCACTTGGTGCATATGTGTAAGAGTCAGCATTGCTTCTTTATAGTCATGAAGGGGGATTGCACTGAATAATTTCCTAAGGCTTTTTTTAAGGGCCTGTCTGCAATACAGAATAGTAATGTTTATTTTGTGGAATTGGTCATTTATACTTATAACAATTTATATTTATACCAACGTACTTTGGTCATTTATACCTTATACCCTTACACCCTCCTCTGCTCTTGTTTAATGCCACAGAAATAAATAGTTGAGTCTGTCTTTTGTGCCAATGGCTGCTTCAGGTGGAAGTAGTTTTGCCTTTGTGCAGTCATCTATGAAACACTTGCTGCCCTCTACTCAAAGATGCCTCACATGATGGAGGAATTGGTTAGGATGCTGGACAGACTGAAAAAAGGGGGCTTCTAAAATGTGAAATATCCATAATACAGGCAATTGGGTCTCTTCAAAGGTGGATGCTGACCTTCAGGCTAAGTCATTGCACATTTTCCTTCCTCCTATATCCAGGTCCAGTCAGGATGAGGCCTTCACACTGAAGAGAATATGTCCTTAAACAGACTCTAAATTAACACTTCTACAACTTTGTCAACATTCGATAGTCATCTTTATTTTTAGCAAACATAATAAGTTATCATGGTATCTTACTGTAGTGTTTACTTGCATCTTACTGATGATTGTGATGTAGAACAAGGATCAATAAACTTTTCCCACTGAATGTCAAATATTAAATCTTTGCAGCTTTGTGGATAATTCAGGCTTCTTTGCTGCTTCTCAGTTCTGTCACTGCACCGTGAATTAAGCCATTGATAAAATAAATGACATTGTTTTGTGCCAAACAACTTTATAAAAATGGGCAAATAGCCAGAATTGGCTCCTAGGCTATATTCTGTTAGCCCCTATGGAAATTATCTTTTCTTGTGTTTATTTATCATATATTTATATTATATATATATTCTTTTATAAAGTCTTCTCAAATATTTGATCCATTTTTAAATTGTCTTTTTTCTCTTCTATTAAGTTCCTAGAGTTCTTTATATATTTTATATGAAAATCTTTTGAATAGTTTTGTTAGTTTTTCAATTGAACAATTGTCAGTTGAACAATTTGTCAGTTTTTTTTTAGTTACTAGCTTATCTTCTTTTTTTCTTAAATGTCTAAGATCTCTCCCCAGGACTAAATGGAAATATATGTCATGCTCATGAATTACAAAATTCAATCTTTAAGTTCCCCAAATTCTTCTAATTTCAATACAATGTTTCCCAAAATTCTAGCAGAATGTTTTGGAGTAATTGATGAGGAGATTTTATAATTTATATGGGAATACAAAATGCTTGAATAAACAAAATATTTTTTAAAAGAAAGAAACAATTTTGGCTAACTCATCACACTGTGACTGATTGTAAAGAACAATCATCCAAATGGTTTGATATTGGTGAAATAAGACATGTAGATATTATGCAGATATTCCATCAGTGTAGAAAAAGAGGTATTACAGAACAAGAATCACATGTACATATTCAATTAATTTTCAACAGAGCAAAATAATTCAATGGGGGGGGTGTTTCTTAGAAATGATGAAGAATCAACCAGATCTATCAGTTGAGACTGCCTAATACATCCAGCTTTTCAATGCTGTTAACAGCCATTCTATTGTACTATACTGTGGGAGTGACAAAGAAAGACATTGTGAAAGGAGCAAGTGTTTTTGATAATGGAGGGTTTTTACTTTTGCATAATTCAAATTCATGAAAAATTGTTCCTATTAAAAATATACTTGTGTCTATAAACTAAAATCAAAATGTATGAATGTAGAGAATACAAAAGCTCATGATTTTTTGACATTATGAGAGTGGCGGCTTATTAGTTTTCCATCCCAATTTTCTGTTAGTGAGATTTCCCGTGCTGTAACAAAATGCCTGACATAATCACCTTAAAAAGAGGAAAGATGTACTTTGTCTCAGTTTCGTGGGACTCAGTTCATGACCAGTTAGCCTGTTGTGTGTGGTTTGTGGTAAGGCTATACATCATGCTGGCGACACTTACTGGAGGAAGCTGCTTGTCTCCTGGCAGCCATGAAGCAAACACAGAAAGAAGAAAAGGCCAACTTCTCCACTCCCCTTCCAGAGCACAGCCAAATGGCCCCAGACCTTCCACCAGGCCTCACCTCCCTAGAGCACCAAGCTAGGGAACAAGACTTTAACACATGGGCCGTAGGAGAACATTCCAAATCCAAACTGTAGCAAGCAGATACAAATAAGTTCAAAAGTAGAAAAAAATGCACCATGTAAGCAACTCATATAAAAAACAACTCCATAAGAGAGCTAGAGTTGCTGTGATATTATTACACAAAATACAATTTAAACCAAAAAAGTTTCTAATGACAAAGAAGGACTATTTATAATAATAAAAGTGAATCAATCTTAGGGCTGGGGATGTAGCTCAGTGGTACAGTGTTTGCCTAGCACATGCAAGGCACTGGATTGGATCCCCAGAACTACAAAAAAGAATAAATCCTTTAAAAATAACAGTTATAGATATATGTGCTAAACAACAGGCTCCAAAATACATGAAACTAAAACTGATAGACTTTCAAGGAGAAACACAATTCATCAGTAATAGACACTTCAGTAAGTCGTCTCCAATAATAGGACAGCAAGGAAACAGACTTGATCAACACTATAAAGAAAGTTGATATTACAGACATCCTCTAACAGAATACACATCCTTCTCAAGAATCAGGGACCCCCCTCAGGATAGACCAGGTCCTAGGCCACAAGGTAAGTTTTAAGAACATGAAGGAGACTTAGACAAATGAAACGTATTTGTTAACATTCTTCCTTGCATCTATTTATTATATATGAACATTCAGTAAATTTCCTCTTTTCTCTGCTCCCTGCAGGATGAACAGCAAGCACAATCTCTGTCCTTTGCCTGCAGGGACATAAGGTGGTGAGGCAGAACTGAAAATGCTTGAGACACCAAGCTTAGCTACACAATCATCAAAAACATCTTTAGCTGAATGACTTTCTTTCTATTAGTTCCTTTTACTCTATGTTGTTGCAGAGTTCAGCATTCTGGAGCTTAAATATGTAATTTGATTTAATCTTCTTAAATCATCAAATCAATTCTACCAGTTGCAAGTTGGAAAATTATATTTCAGAAGAAATGGAGTTAAAGGCCAAAGTCTTACACCGGTGTGGTACAAAATTATCTGTAGGCACAGCTCTGCAAATGTAGATAAGTAACACTAAGCTGTGAAGAGGCTGCTGCAGTGGCCCTCTGATCTTGTGGCTGGCACCGGGCTGAGCCCAGCTAAGGGTTTATGTACCAGCTGCAGGCTGCTGGGGAGCACTGTGGGCTGCAGCACAGAAATAAGTGGCTGAGTCTGTGGGCTGAGAAGAGGAGATGGACAATGAGCTGTGGCGTTCTTTAGGGACTGTCGTGGCCTCTAATCTTCCATTCTGCTTTGTCCCTAAAGGAATGGAGAGCAGGTTGACGAGGCGTCCCCCAGGATCTTGGCGAAACCACTGTACATTGGTCACTGAGTCAGAAAAACTGCATGACAGAGTGGAATTGGCTCCCTCCTGGAGGATGAGGGCTGGAGGACTCTGCTCCACCTGCATCCCTCTCACACCTGAGTAAAAATAGAGAAACAGTCATAGGTGATGTCATTGAAAATGCCCCCAAGCTTCATGATAAAAATCTGCAAGATTTGTGAGCTCCTTTCCCCATCCCTCTACTGCAACTGCAAAAATCCTTTTAAATTCCCTGAATTTGAGACACCTCAACTCACAGAAAATGTGGGTGCACAAAAGCCCCAGCAGAGAGCTCAAGATCCTCTTCATGACCCTTCTTGGCCTGGTTGCATCAGTAAGATGCATTTACTCAACTCAAGGCACTGGTGTCAGGACCTGCTTCTGGAACTCCTCCTGCTCCTACAGCCAAACAGCGCCACTGAAGAACTTGCCCAGGCCCAGGCACTGTGGGTCTCCACAGCCTCTGTACAGGAAGCCCCTCCCTCACTCAGACCTTTGAGGATCTGGGTGGAGCCTAGTGAAGAGAGAGGGAAGAGATGTCGTTTTACAAAAGGAAAATTTTCTTTTTTTTTTTTTGCTTTCTAATAATCTTGGAGTTGTAATGAGTGTGAGGAGAAAGAGGATGGGCTCCTCCAAAGGAGAACTGGCTCGAAGTACTAATCAGAGCCTAATAGAAAGAATATCCACATATATATAAATCCGAAAAAGAAATGTGTGTTCTCACTAAAGGATCTTCACTGGCATATGAATTACTTTAGGTGAAAGTCATTTCAGTCTTGCCAAGTAATAAGAACATGATGCTACAAACTATATACTTAAGGTTTTCCTATTATCAGAATTTATAAAATATGTACTTTTAATCTCCTGGAAGAACCAAAATTGAGGCAAATGTTCTTATATGTAAGTAATTACCCCATGGAGGAAGGGAAAGGCTAATCAATGTGTACTAATCAATTTGTACTATGTTATACTTAGACAAAGTAGCTCTGGTGTGGGATTGCACTTTAAGGTACTACAGTTAATAATAACACATTATACATTTCTGAAAGCTAGAAGAAAGGACTTAAAAGTTTCCAACATAAAGAAATGAGAAATGTTCAGCTTGGTGTGGTGGCACATGTCACCTGGGCCGCATAGTAAGACACTGACACAAAAAAATTAAAGCATAAAAAGGAAAAGATAGACCTCCAATCTGACTTTGACATAACACAAAATATACATGTTTCTAAACATGGTACACCATTAATATGTATAATTGTATATTTTTACATATCAGTTAAAATAATTATATGTTCTATAAAAGAAATAAACCTAATAAGAAAGTAAATTGTGAGGGGAAAATAAGATCAATTCAGACATCATTTCTATGTATTGTCTCAACTGGGCAACATGTTTTGCTTTCTTTTTCTGATTCTTATCTTGTAAAAACTTTCTTTATCTCATGTTTGCAGTTCAGTAAGTCCCTTTTCTTTATCATTCCTCTGTCTTCCTCTTTTCCTTTCCAGTTTTCCTTCTCATTACATTGCTGGTTCTATATTCCCCTTTTACTTCTTCCTTCTCTCTCTTGTAGCTACCAGAAAGAGTAGAAAGGGTATTAAAGAAAAGATAACATTACATGTTTTTGAAATCATGTGAAAAGTTCAAATTTTTCTCTAGTATCCAAAATTCTAAGCAATATAAATTTAAAATCAGAAAATTAAAAGAAAATTAGCTTTCTATTCTTTATAATTCTCTCTTCCTTTCACTTTCATATGATTCTATGTTTGATTCAAGAATATTTTGTAAGAGATACAGATATTGGTTCAGATAAATGTTATGATAGTAATGTATTTAAATGCATACATTATAGCTGAAAATTTTGAGGACTTAAACCAGGTAAAATATATCATCAATCCAGTTCATTGATCTCATTTTAGAAGGCAGAGCTGTTAATTGAAAGACATATGCAGCTTAAATCAGTTTCTTAGGTGCTAATAATGACTTACTTTGTCTTCACACAATCATTCTCTCTTCTTTATTATAGTCCTCATCTCCATGTTCAAAGAAATTTCTCAGCTATAGAGAGGAAAATTTTTTGTGAGTTTTTTGTTGTTGTTGTTTTTGTTTTTTGTAATCTACAAAAAACTCAGTTCCAGTTTATGTCACAGCACCCTCCAGTGGTCAAATAGAGTGCTAAGGAGAAGGTTGGTGAACTATTCACATCTCCAGCCCTGAGTTAAATTTCAAAGCATTGTGATCATATGCAAAGGAAGATGTATAATTTAGAGGTCTTAAACTTATAAGATATGCTTTTGAAAAAGAATACAAAATTGTGACAAATATAAATACAAATGAATTTTTTAGAATTAAAAATAAGATCAAAAGAAATTTAAAATTTTGAAAAACAAATACCACAAACATCAGAGATTCAGAAAGTTCCATATTGTATTGCTTATTTTCTTGAAATCTTCCTATGTTAGTTTTTCTTTCTGTACTTTCTGGCTCCCTACTTTTTCCTAGGGCTAGGAATTGAATTAATAATTCTTAATTGACTCTCCATTTGACCATACATTTGTAATATTTCTTAGGAGAAGAAAAATGTGATGTAGTTTTACTACTAACACCATCGATCAATTTTGTATTCACATTGCGTTAAGGTAATGTCATGTAAATATTTTATGAATATAGTGTTATTGGAGAAAACTCTATCAAGCTATTATGAGTGAAAGATTTCATTTTAAATTTTCTTATGCTGTAACACATAGTATTATGAAAATACATTGACCAGTATTTTTAAGTCTGTATTAGCTTCTCATTGCTGTGTAACAAATTATCAAAAATTTTCCATCTTAGAACAACATTTCATTTATTACAACAGCAAATACTAGCATGGATGTGAGGAAATTTGGTCACTGAAATATCACTGGTGGGAATGCAAAACAATGCAGTAATCTAGAAAACAGACTAAGTTTCTGATAAAACTAACAATTTACTTCCCAAGTAACCCAGTACTTGCATATCTGGGCATTTGTCTCAGGGAATGAAGACTTTAAAAACTCTGTGGCTGATGATTATAGTATCTTTAATCATAATAGCTCCAAACTGAAAGAAACTCAGCTAAATGAACAATTAAAGAAATTGGTAAATTGGGCCGGGGATTTAGCTCAGTGGTTCCACCGCCTGCCTCGCAAGCTAAGGACCCAAGTTCAATCCCTGGTACCAAAAAAAAAAAAAAAAAAAAAAAAGAGAAAAAGAAATTGGTAAATCTATACTAGGAAATCCTACTCAGCAACAAGTGAGGAATGGACTGTGTAGAGGAATACACAATTCTCTCCACAAATCTCTAGAAATTATGTGGAGTAAAAATACCATCTCATTGCATGATATGTTGAATAACTTCATTTATAGAATAGTCTTGAAATGACAACTACATAGGTACACAAAGTAGTGGTTGTCAGGGGTTAAAGGCAGTTGGAGACAAGCCATAGGCCCACCCAAATTCCATCAGTAAGTGCACACAGATCCAAGAGAAGCCGCTATGGACCAGAGAAGTAAGGTTGGAGGCAGGATCTAGCCAGGTCCACACCCCAACCCCAGCAGCTTGGGCCTACAGGTCCCAGCCAAAGATCGACCTGGAAAAGAGCTGCAAAGGTACACAAGCAAAAGCCAGAGGCCTGCCCAGATTCGATCCATGGGGGTGTGCAGACCCCAGCCAGAAGCCCACTCAGACACCAGCAACTCAGGTATACAGCACCCAGTGAAAGGCCATCCCACACAACACTTAAGTAGGAGGCAGACCCCAGACAGAGGCACACCCAAACTCCATCCCAAGTGTGCACAGGCCCCAGGCAGGACCCTGTCCAGACAACAGGGCAGCTCACAGATCCGAAAGGCAAGCATTCTGAAGCCAGGAATTGATGAAGTGGTGAGCAGCAGAGAAAAGGTCACTCAGTGGCTTTCTGAAAATTGAAGACCACTGGGTGAGCAAAAAGTCACCTCAACAAACACACAGCAGGCTGCATCTGTTGAAATGAGAAGACACATAAACAAAACTCAAAACCAGACTTCAAGATCTCCTAAGGAAACCCCAAAGGGAAACAAGATGGGACAATCTGATACTCAATTGCCTGGACTCCCTGAACTGGCAACGAAAGAAGATCTGTAAAAAAATGAAATCAGAAATAAATTTTCAGATAACAACAGAAATTGTGTCCATAGTGCAAGAAATGATTAATAAATCTAGAGCAGACACAGATAAAAAGAAACAGAGGAACTAAGTAAAATGATGAAATCCCAGCATAGGAAACAAACAGATACCATAAAACAGATGCAGACAGATTTCCAGGAGATTAAAAATTCCACTGAAAGTTTACGAAGCAGAGTGAGCCACTGCGAGGACAGCATGTCAGATATAGAAGACAGGATTGCAATTAATGACCAGGAAAGGAAAATTTCTTAAAAGTAGTAAGGGACCATGAGAAATCAATTCAGCAGATGCTAGATGATGCAAAGAAGAATAACATAAGACTGATTGGAGTCAATGAAGAAACAGGAGACAGCGCAGATGACATAAAAATAAAAGATCACAGAAGTAATGGCAAAAAACTTCCCAAGCAGGGGAAAAGAACTTGACATACAGATAAGTGAGGCATATGGGACACCAACTAGCCATGATAAAAAAATCTACACCTAGGCATATAATAGTTAAGATTTTAGAAACCCAACAGAAGAAAAAAAAACTACAAGCAGTTAGAGAAAAGAAACAAATCACATACAAAGCAAACAGGAGACTTCTCAAAGCAAACCCTCAAGGCAAGATGAGCTTGGAGTGATGTATTCTGAGCCCTAAAGGAAAACAGCCTCCAACACAGATTGATGTACCCTGCAAAACTATCTTTCAAAATTGATGGAGAAATAAGATACTTTCATGACAAAGAACACCTTAGGAAATTCATGAATAAAAAACAGCACTCCAAAAAATTTTAGACAATATCTTAGGAAAAGGCAATGAGGATCACAACCCCAGGAAGCCCAGCAGAATGAATCCAGTGGCCACAAGAAGAAATTAAATGCAAAGGAGGAGAATCCAACAAAAAGAAAAAGTCATGACAAGGGTAAGTCAATATGTATCAGTTATAACTATCAATGTTAATGGTCTCAATTCACCAATCAAAAGAAATAGACTGGCAGAATGGGCCAAGAAGCAAGATCTAACAATATGCTACATACAAGAAACACACTTAATTCAAAAAGAAACTCATAGACTGAAAGTTAAAGGGTGGAAAACAATACTCCATGTGATAGGATACTTGAAAAAAAGCAGGAGCAGC